AGAATGAGGACACCCTCAGTAAGACCGGGATGAGCGGTCTGCAATGTCGGGACGTAGCCCGAGTCTGGGAGACGTGAAAGCCTCAATATATATAGTCCACGGGGTTCATCCTTATATGGTCTAGAATTGTGGGGTTTTGGCAGCACTGTGAGTTCTCCTTCTCGGTTAAGGGAAGGGCGTACGGAACCCCAGTTGAAGCATAGAGGTGCCAGAATACATGCATCTAGTGCGCCCTGGTCTGTGCATACAATGACAGAGCGTACTCTGAAGGTAGAAGCCCTAGAAAGGGTGCGGGGGGTCACCCCTTTGTACCTATGCCACTAGCACCGGAGTAAGACTCGCTTGGGGTTCACCCAGCATAGGGGGGTCACCCCTGTATGAATGTCTCTTATGGCATGTTGGGACACTCTTTCGGTCTATGGGGTACCGAACAGGTGTCAGGTACGGTAGTACACTTATTGCCACTTAGTGGGCCTCCACGTACAACTGGGGGTCACCCAGAATTGTTTCAATCAGTACCACTTAGAGATTTCCTGGGAGTGGTCTGAGGAGGGGGTCACCCTCAATAAGACCGGGATGAGCGGTCAGTAATGTCGGGACGTAGCCCGTGTATGGGGAGGTATGGTAGCCTCCAAATTATCCAAGGGGTCACCCTTATAGGATATAGTACTGTGGAGAATTGGCAGCACCATGAGCTCTCCTTCCTGGCTCTGTCGATATACATGTATTCAGTGTGACCCGGTCTGTGCATACAGTAACAGATCGTACTCCGTGGAAATGAGCCCGCCCTAGGGCGTGGGGGTTCCCCCCAGTATATGTATGTCACTAGTACCGGAATAATATTCGCTTGGGGTTCACCCAGAGTAGGGGGATCACCCCAGTATATGTATGTCACTAGGACAGGAACCAGATTCGCTTGGGGGTCACCCAGCGTAAGGGGGGTCACCCCTGTACCACAATGTCACTTTGGAGAGGTGTCTGCCACGCTTGGGGGTCACCCAGCGTAAGGGGGATCACCCCTGTTAATCACTCCGTTATGTGCCTCCACTACTGTGTCCTGGGAGGTGTATCCCTGTGGGGAAGGAGTGTATCCAATGGTTGTGAGGTCCAGTGGGAGTAGGGAGCGGAGTAAGATATCAGCTCTATTTAATTTCCCTGCCAGTAGATAGAGTAATGCATCCACTATATACCCACAGCAGGGGACAGTCCATTCATAATCCTCCAGATGTACAATAAAATTGTTATTCAACATGTCAATTGTATAGAACAGAATAGAGCAAACTGTCAGCAGATGCACACAGCAGGGATCAGTCCTACATATTCATGCAGAGTTACATATAAAACTTTTATTTCACATGCCAATGAAATATGCCAGTATAGAGCTCAGCAGTGAACAGTCCATTCATAATCTTCCAGGAAAGGTACATATAAAACCTTCACATGCCCATGAACAGTATTGAGCTCAAAAGTACTTGTAAAACTTTTATTTCACAGGAAAAATATATGAAACAGTACAGAACTAGCCGCCAGTTCGTGGGAATCACGAACTGGCCAAACGACATGGCCGACGTGAATCTCGCGAGTGCCGCGAGATTCAAGATGGCCGCCGTTCGCGCGCAAAAGTGCCGTGCGGCCCACGATCGAGGATACGATCGCGGTCTGCCGGCATGGAAAAGAGTCCCCCCGACATCCCCAACCCCCAGAGACCTGCCCTGAAGTCCCAGCACCAATGAATAAAAAGCGTGCTCGCGGTAAAACGCCGCGATCCATGCGAGACCAGAGTAAAGCATAGGAAAGAAAAGGTGCCAGCAACAGAAAACAGGCTAATAAAGCAGAAAATACAGGGTTAATTCAGGGGAAGGGTAACAGGGGGAGAATATCACACTATACAAATCCAAATGGAAGGCAAGTGCAAAATAATGAAAAACGTTTAGGCCAAAATTGCAGGACAAGCTAATAAAGTTTAACAAAAGTGCCCATGCATATCCAGAAACAGTTTGGAGCAAAAACTGAATGTCTAGCATTAAAAATCTAACTAAAGTGACCATAGCAATATTAATAAAAACAGTTGGAGCAAACTGAAAGTCAATTAATAAAGTTTAATTAAAGTGGTATCCAGAAAAAACAGTAAGGATTAAAACTGAATGTCTAGCATAAGGTGTCTAACTACAGTGACCATAGCAATATTAATAAAAACAGTTTGGAACAAACTGAAAGTTAAGCAATAAATGATTAACTAATGACAATTGCAATATTCAGTAAAACAGTTTGGAGCAAAATACTCTGACCTGTGCCTTGGCTGGTAAGCAGCAAAGAAAGAGGAAGTCATGTGACTGTCAGGGCTTTATATATGAATGTGATGCCTGTTACTGATTGGTTTAAAGTTTATTGATTGACTTGTGCTGCTGGAGGCATAAAGTAAAGAAAGTTATGCAAAATATGAAGCCTCCTGTCATGTGATAAAATTAACAAGATGGCGCCGGAATCTGGAGGATGAGCAATTAATGAACCACTTAACACCTAACCAATTATTGATGTATTTTCCTCTGTTATCTATAATTATGCATATGATGTATTTCTGCTTTATAAGGGGCATACCGGCCCCCCGGAATAAAGATTCCTGAGGTTTTCATCAATCTGGAGACTTGTGTCTGGTGTGAATTACTTTAGGAAGCGTGCACGCAACATATAACCAATTTGGACAGGGGAAGATATACAAAATTATCAAACACTTGATTTGATCCACGATAATTTGGTTCCCAACGTGGAGCACCGCGGCTACGCCGGAACAGACGGCCCGGAAACCGGAACCGGAGCGGACCCCCCCCCAAAACGGAACCGGAGACTGATCACCTGCTAAGATATACAGCAATTGCCTATATTTTCCTGTATTGTGTTGGTCTACCTCCGGGTCCATTCTGGCCAGAAGGCATCGAAGACAGGTAAAAATTCTTGCCCGGTGCCTCTTTATAAGAACCTGTTGATTGTCTATCTGCCTCCTGAGTGTGAGTCCTTGGTGTGAAAGAGTTTGCTTGGGAATTTGATAAGTTTTATTGCATTGAATTGTTATTTGCTTGACTGTCTAGAGAGAGACAGGGAATTGCATTGTATTATTAGCATATATTGTTAGCTTAACTGCCTAGCGGGCAGGGAACACGACCGCCTGGAGAAGGGCTGGGGATTTTTCTTATGGTTATTATTGTTAGCTTGACTGCCTAGCGGTCAGGGACCGCGACCTCCCGGAGAAGGGCTGGGGATTTTTCTTATGGTTATTATTGTTAGCTTGACTGCCTAGAGGGCAGAGACCGCTACTGCCTAGAGAAAGGCTGTTTTTTAAAAATATTATTCACTTGACCGCCACTGCCTAGAGAGAGGCTGAGTTTTTGATATTATTCGCTTGACAGTTTAGATAACCGGGAACGCTACCGCCCAGAGAGGGGCCGGGGATTTTGTTATACTGTTCAGAGAGGAACAGGGTTTTGCTGATTTGTTGCTGTTATGGTTGCTATATTGTTATTCCTTATTACATTGTGGTTATTACTCAGCTGGTGTTGTAGTGTGTGTGTGTGTGTGTGTGTGTGTGTGTGTGGTTTGGTTGCATCTGTGTGTGTTGTGTGGTTTATTCTTGACTCAAGACTTTGTGCACATATCTACATCTGTGATTCTTGTAAATGTCTTATTAGCTTTTCCACTCTCACTTTCTCTCTTGTCCTCATCCTCTTCCTCTACTGTACCTTTGACCCAGAGCAGTGTTAGTCACCCACTACTCGCCTCTCTCCAATCCGTGACCACCATCTCAGGTGGGCGGATCCCAGGACTTGTCTACGTTTCGGGAAGACGCAAGAAGATTCATTTCTCGTAGCAGTCGAGCACTGTAGATGCTCTTTTTCTTGTTTCCATCTCTCTATCTCTCTTTCAAGGGAGTATATTGAGAATGGGACAGGAACATGCTAAACCTTCGAAAGGGTACTTGGCTTTTGATATAGTGAAAGAAAGGGCTGGTGAGGAGGCTATGCTTAAAATGAAAAAGATCTCTAAGATCTGTGGTGTTTCAATGTCTCCCAGCGGTCGGTTACAACCAGAGTGCTGGAGAAAAGTGTTGAAAGATAAGAAGGGATTGCTACTCGATAATTGGCTAACTAAGGCTGCAGCAGCTTGGTATCGTGTGGCAAGAGGACTTAAACAGGAAGGTTGGTTAGAGGAGGAATTTGAATTTAAAGGACAGAAAATTTATGTGTATCATGAAAATGTTTGCACTGTTGATTCAACTCTCGATGTTCCCTGACCACCGCCCTATGATGGCGTCCGGCACAAAGAGGAAGAGGCTAACCCCACCTCCACGACTACTGCCCAACTCGCCCAGTCACAAGCTCTAACTGACATCACCCCCTTAGCACCCACCCCCTTGTATCCCATCCTTGGAGTTGATAAGTCGTATTGTTACCCTGTCCCTGTTCTTCCTTCCATTCCCGCACTTGTTCCTCCTCCCTCTGCCCCTCCTCCCATACCCACCCCTGCCCCACCTCCCATTCCCGCCTCTGCCCCACCTCCCGTACCCGCCTCCGCCCCTCCTCCCATCTCCGCCCCTGCCGTCACTCTCTCCATGCCCTCCCCTCACCCACCTCCCTACGTCATTCCTCCTGTCCCTACCTCTGTTCCTCCTCCTCCCCTCCCAGTCACCCCGTCCGTTCTCGCCTCAAATCTATCCCCCTCCCCTACCTCTGTGTCACCTCTTGTTCCCGCCCCTTCCGCCTACGTTCCCCCTTTTGTTCCGACTCCCGTCATGGTCATCACCTCTCCTCCCGGCATCCTTCCTACCGATTCATCTTCCGTCCCCACACCTAGTTCCGTCCCTGCCTCTGTCATGGCGGCCCCCATCTACACCATAATGACGGTTGGTTCGAACGATTCTATCGCATCAGACCATCACCAGACTGCTTCCCCCGCTGCCTCAGGCTATCACCCTAATACATCCCAACTGGCTACACTCCAAATCGCCAATGCTGGTTCTCCTGATGCTGGCCCTCCAGCCGCACAAGCTCCAAATTCACCAGGTGTACCCAGTTATCATGGCCTACCTCACCCCGCTCCCTTTGATAACGACCAGGGGTTGGGCCCACTACGGGCCCCCAATAATACCCCCCAGTTTCCCCAACCGCTACCCACCCCAGCAAGCCATCACAGTATCCTACCAGCTGTCGATGGAGCCCCTTTGATGTATGTTACCTTCAATCCGTCCCAAGCTGTAACTCTGGCAACTTCCCTCCCAGACCCAGAGAAACAGCACATGCCCTCCTTCCGAAGGATTGCTCAGATTCGTAAAACGTATTCGGCTACCTGGCGTGACTTATCTAGTCTCTGTGAAATCAAAGCCGGGGATGCATATTGGCCTATCATGGAAAGGAGTTTTGATGATGCCAGTCTCCTTACTGACACAGATTTCCAATCAGGCATAACATTCTGTGAACAACTTCGTGTTTGGGCACAGGATAAATTGGCTGACCAAGCTGCCTGCATTAATGACATCGTGTAGGATAAAATTGAGTCAGTGGAAAATTACCATTGAAGGTTAACACAGACTTTCTATGATTTGGGCTTCAGCATCTACAATAAGGCACATACTCAGATGCTGCCTTTGTCGCAGGCTTAAAAGAACCCATTAGGAAGGGCCTGATCCTATCCTGCCCAGAATACAGGATTATACCCTTGGATACCCTCCTCCTAGTTGCTAAAGGTCTGGAGTCAGCTTTATTACCCCAGTCAAAGAAAAGTGCTCCCCTGATGTTTTCCTTCCATAATCCTATCAGGCCTGCCCCAGCCCCCACTGGGTTTCCTGTGCCCCCACCACAGAGACAATCTATGTCCCAAGCTCCTAGATTTCAAACCAGAGCTTGTTTTAACTGTGGTCAGCCTGACCACTTTCGAAAAGATTGCCCACACCCTAGGATGTACAGGCAACAGCAACCAGCCGTAAGACCTCCTAATCCTGTGACAGGCTATCCTATGTTTCCTCACCCCTCTGCAGCGATCCAGGTTCAGTCACAGGCTGTTTTCCCTCCACAGGGTTACCCTCAGACTGTTTATTCACCATCACCTGTTGACAACCATCCTGCACCTCATGGTTATACTGACATTCCTTCTGATGGCTATGATGCAGATGGTTATCAGCAAACTAATCGCCCTACCCCCAACATTCATCATCCTGTGCAACGTGCACAACAGCCAAATTACTCTGCGCCTGCAGCCACCACCCGTCATTACACTGGCCTTGACCAGGCCCATTTAGATCTTCTACAATAGGTAACTTGCAAACCTGTGTCTAACACCCCTATCATGGCAGTGTCTACAGGGGATAAAGGGGGGCCTCTAGCTACCGTGGTCTTACCCATTGACGGTCATCCAACTACTTTTTTAGTTGACACAGGCGCAGCCTGCAATGTTCTCAGAGAACAAGACCTGCCTGACTCTTCTTTCTTGTCTAACATCGATGTTTCGTGTGTTGGTGTTGATGGTACCCCTCGTAACAACCCACTAAACAAGCTCTTAAGGGTGGGCTCAGACATTCTCACACGTTTTGTTGTTTCTTCTTCCTGCCCCATTAACCTGCTAGGTGCTGATGTTCTCTCCTGTCTGTAGGCTTCTATTTCCTTCACTTCTGATGGCCAGGTTCAGTTACTAACACCTCTCTCACTTAAGGATACTTTAGCCCTCCGATCCTTACCTCTCCTACTCCAATTAGAGACACCAGGCCCTGAGGATGCAAGGGTCCCTGAGTTCCCCAGTGCCCTGGATAGGGTCCCAGCCAAGCTTTGGTCCACAGGCCCAGATGATATTGGGCGCCTACAAGTACCTCCAGTGGTTGTTAAGCTGTATGAAGGAGCAAACCCACCACGAAGGCCGCAATACCCCTTGAAGCCTGCTCAGTCCCTTGCCGTCTCCAAACGAGTTGAAAGCCTACTAGCAAAAGGTGCTCTTGTAAAATGTGTATCAAAATGTAACACCTATCTGTTCCCAGTGAAAATGAAAACTGAAAAGGGTGAACCAGACCAATACCGTATGGTTCAAGACCTCTGTGCTGTCAATGATGTCACAGTCAGGGATACAGCCATCGTGCCTAATCAACACACACTCCTCTCGCAGGTACCTCCCACAGCGAGATTCTTCACTGTGATTGACTTGGCAAATGCCTTTTTCAGTGTGCCTCTGGACCCTTCATGTCAATACCTGTTTGCATTCACACATGACCGCCAGCAGTCAGGGCTGGACTGGCCCACCGGGATACTGTGAAATTTTCCCGTAGGCCACGGCACCTGGGGGGCTAGAGATAGAGAGGGAGCCCTGCTCTCTATATTTTAATAATATTGCGGCCGCAGATGGGGGACACAGACAGATGGGGTAATAGAGAGACAGGGGATGGGATAATAGAGAGACAGGGGATGGGGGGACAAAGAGAGGGGTAATAGAGAGACAGGGGATGGGGGGGACAAAGAGAGGGGTAATAGAGAGACACCAGGGAAGGGGGGACAAAGAGACAGAGGGGTAATAGAGAGACACGGGATGGGGAGGACAAAGAGAGGGGTAATAGAGAGAGACACAGGAGAAGGGGGGACACAGAGACAGATGGGGACAAAGAGACAGAGGGGTAATAAAGAGACAGAGGGGATGGGGGTACAAAGAGACAGAGGGGTGAGAGAGAGACACAGGGAGGAGATGGGGAAGAGAGACACAGGGAGGAGAGGGGAGAAAGAGACACACAGAAGGTTTGTTGGGGGGACAAAGAGACATACAGTAGGGAAGGGGAACAAAGTGACACAAGATTTGTGGTGGGCAACGCTGGGCTGGGGAAAAAGAGACAGAGAGTGGCTGGGAGAAGAGAAAGAGGCACACAGATTCTGGAGTTAGAAAGAGACACACAGATGAGATTTGGAAGGGGAGAAAGAGACAAAGTGGCTGGGGCTAAGAACAACACAAAAGGGGCTGCGGGAAAGAGGAATACAGAGGCTGGAGAAGGGTAAAAAGAAACACACAGGGACTGGGATGACGTAAAAGGTGCACAAGGGTCAAAAAAGGAGACAATTGGAGACAAGATACACTAAATGAGGTAAATGTAGTAGACGTAAATTGATGTGATCCTGACAGTAATACACACATATATATGCATGTATGTATGTATGTATGATGTGTGTATTAGTAACATCTAATTATGCCTATAATATTTACACATATAGTATTATACATTTATATATGCATAATACCACATAAATGTCATTAATATGTATGTATGTGTGTATGTGTGTATATATATATATATATATATATATATATACACACATACACACATACATACATATTAATGACATTTATGTGGTATGTTATTGTGCATGAGTATGCAACTAGCAACAAGACTGGGCCAATACGTGCTCATTAATATATATATATATATATATATATATATATATATATATATATATATATATATATATAATGAGCACGTATTGGCCCTGTCTTGTTGCTAGTTGCATACTCATGCACAATAACATATTCAAAGTGAAGAGCGCACCCATAGAACTTCAAAATAAACAAGATCACTTCATTTTTTTTAGTTGTGCAATTGCCGACATTCACCATTTCAGTCCCATTACTAAAATGTCCTTAATAGGCCAAAGTAGTCGTACTGAAACATTGATTACATGCAAATGTATGTCTACTTAAAATAAAGGCGCTCTTTTGTTTATTTTGAAGCCCTATATGCGTTCTTTCGTTGGAGTAAAACTTTTCAATTTCAAGTTATTTTTTCACCCTCTATATATCAGCACACTATGCTGGCACGACACATTATTGGGCTGGTATAGAATTTTTTTCCAGGGCTGCTTTTAGTTCCCAGTCTGGCCCTGCCAGCAATATACTTGGACTGTTATGCCTCAAGGTGCACAAAATTCACTTACTCAGTTTGCTAAAGCTATGTCTACTGTACTAGAACCATGGCAGAAATCCCATCCAGATGTGGTTCTCCTCCAGTACGTGGATGACCTACTCCTCTGTGCAGATGATCTTCCAACTGCTGAACGTCACTCAGAAGATTTACTCTGCTTCCTTGCTGAACAAGGCTGCAAAGCCTCCAAAAAGAAGTTGCAATGGTGCTGGCCCTCTGTGATCTTCTTGGGACATTGCCTTTCCCATGGCACCCGACACTTAACCAGAGACAGAGTCCGAGGCATCGCTGCTATTTGGCCTCCATCTACTCATCAAGCCTGGATTCCTGAGGCCTCTCCACTCAAGCAGCATCTCTATGATGCCCTGAAGACTGAACCTTTCACACTATGCCCAGAAGCTCGTACCTGTTTATACGCTCTACAAAGAGCTATCTCCTCAGCCCCTGCCTTGGGCTTCCCAAACTACCTGAAGCCCTTCACACTTTTTGTCTCAGAACGGATGGGTCATGCTTCGGGAGTCCTAACGCAATGTAATGGTTCCCGTCAACGACCCATTGGTTACTTCTCCTGCCAATTGGATCCTGTGGCTAGAGGGGGGCCATCTTGTCTACGCCCTTTGATTTTTGATTTTTTTTTGTAAATAGGCTTTAATTTTTTTTTCAGAGAATAAGAGTAACAATGAGACTTGCAGGTCTCAGGTCTGTGACCGTTTGCGATAACATTTCAATTGTGTATTCCGAAACTCGCAGGTTTCAACATTTGTGAGTAGTAAATATTTCTGGAGACACGCAGGTCTCTCATCTTTCTGCTTTCCTGTGGCTCGTAAGCCCAGAGTAGTAGTTTTCTGTGGGTGTGTAGTGCAGAGACCTGTGTTTTGATTGTGTATGGTGTTTGTTGGGTTCTGTCTCGTGTGTAAGTCCTAGTTCGATATGTCCGTTCTCTGGCCGTCCCGTGTGCTGTTGGCAGTGTCAATGTGTAGTGGCGTAGTGCTGTGTTTCCTTGATTCTGGTCTGTCCTGCCTGCTTAGACGGTTGGCATTATGACCTGTCGGTCCTACTTGTGCACCAGTATTGGCTTTCTTGTGTTTCGGCTTGTCTCTGTGTGTTGTTTGTCTAGTCAAGTATGTGGTTTCTTGTGCAGTGTTGTGGTCGTGTGTGTCCCACCGGGGTGATATTTTGTTGAAACCGTGGGTCAGTGCCAGGGTGTGTTGGTTTGTGTGCAGTATTAGGAGTTGGGTTATTTGTTGGGGGAGGCGTGTAACTGTCGGAGTTGTCTCAGTCTATTCTGTCTGTCGTGGCGTCGGTCTGTGCTGTCTTGCTGCCTCTCTGTCTACATGTCAAGAGCAAATCATGATGGAAGGAGTCACCAGGAGAACTGTAAAATGCAAGACAGTTGGTTACCCTCGATATCATACAGAGATAAGCGAAGACACCCCTCCTACAGAACAAGACCCAGATGCTCCTCATGATTGCTTCAAACAGATGAAAATGGAGACCACACATCTCCCAACAGTCCATGAAGTGGCTTTGCTTCAGATTTGCGGGCACGCAGGGAAAATACCATACTGGATTTGCTGTCACAACAGAAGTTCAAGTACTTCAAGCATCTTCACTTCCCTCATCCACGTCTGCTCAAGAAGCTGAATTAATAGCCCTCACAGTAGCATGCATAATGTCTGAAGGAAAGCATGCTAATATTTATACTGACTCAAGATATGCCCTGGGGGTGGCACATGATTTTGGATTAATCTGGAAAGCAAGAGGTTTCCTTACAGCAACTGGTACACCGGTCAAGCACGGCAGCTATCAAAGAACTGATGGATGCCCTGCTGCTCCCTGAAGAAGTGGCCATACTGAAGGTAAAGGCCCATGGAAGATTGAATTCAGAAGAAGCACATGGCAATCATTTAGCTGACCAGGCCGCTAAGGATGCTGCACGAAAGTCAAGGAAAGTGGACAGAAGAGTGTACGCAGAAGAAACTCCCATCTACACTATGCAAACCTTGCCTACAGACCTCCAGCTTCTGAGAGAACAGCAAGCAGCTGCCACCCCAGAGGAAAGACAAAGCTGGAAAGAAAAAGGGGCAACTCTCCAGAATGGTGTGTACACCATCAATCTCAAATTTTGTCTACCCAAGAACTATTTCGTTCAGCTGCCAGGCTAGGCTGTTACTTCCCCCAGCAACTCCAAATTCAGTCAGATGCAATGGTAGATTACATAACTGCTCTCTCTCATGCCTTGACCAAAATCCATGCACAAGTGTTTTCTTCTATTCCAGATACAGAGTCTGATACAAGCACCCATAAGTTGCTCCCCGGTGATTATGTTCTGGTTAAGAAATTCCTGAGGAAACATACTCTTGAGCCAAGATTTGATGGTCCATTCAAAGTCCTTCTAACTACATCTACTTAAAGGACCACTATAGTGCCAGGAAAACATACTCGTTTTCCTGGCACTATAGTGCCCTGAGGGTGCCCCCACCCTCAGGGTCCCCCTCCCGCCCGGCTCTGGAAGGGGGAAAGGTGTTTAAACTTACCTTTTTCCAGCGCTGGGCGGGGAGCTCTCTGCCTCCTCTCCTCCTCCGATACTCCTCCTGGGCTGAATTTGCACGCGTGGCAAGCGCTGCGCGCGCATTCAGCCGGTCGCACAGGAAAGCATTTACAATGCTTTCCTATGGACGCTGGCGTGCTCTCACTGTGAAAATCACAGTGAGAAGCACGCAAGCGCCTCTAGTGGCTGTCAATGAGACAGCCACTAGAGGATTAGGGGGAAGGCTTAACCCATTCATAAACATAGCAGTTTCTCTGAAACTGCTATGTTTATTAAAAAATGGGTTAACCCTAGCTGGACCTGGCACCCAGACCACTTCATTAAGCTGAAGTGGTCTGGGTGCCTAGAGTGGTCCTTTAAGTAAAGCTAGTTGGGAAGAACACCTGGATACACGCTTCGCATTGCAAGAAAGTTCCAGCTCCAGAGGAAGCAGATCACTTTAAGCCATGAGCTTCCTGTACCTTTTTCTGCTGCTAGGCCTGTTAGAGGCCCAACAAGTTGCAATTACCAAAGATAATCATGTTTACACATTTTGGTATAATTCTTCCAACACACATGTAGCCACATTTACATTTGACTAGTGTGATATTGTCTCTTGTACTTTCCCACAATCACAACATTTGACTATATACAAAGACATACCTAATAAAAAGGACCCATACATTTGTGTGACTGGTGATCATTGGGGACATCACTGTAATTTATGGAAAACGGGATGGAACACGGGCCGACCATGTGGCTACAGACCACAGAGTGCCTTAGATAGGATGGACAGGGTCTATAAGAGTTAAAATAGTGGGTAACTCTTCGCTTTAAATCAATCAAGGGGAACAGTGCCAATATATAATTTTTTTAAATATAAATTTTTTTTATTTTTTTTACAATTTTTATGAAAATATTATTTTAATATTTATCACCCCATAAATATTTTCACAGTGTCCCTTAGTCAAAGATTCCTGTATGTACTCCTCCATAAATTTACTTTCCAGAGGAGACAGAGTATAGACTCTTCCTTTAGTAGGCATGGTACCTAGCAATAAATCTATGGAACAATTATATGATCTATGGAACAATCATATGATCTATGCGGAGGTAGAGTTTCAGCATGCACCTTATTAAACACTTCCTTAATGTCTCTGTATTGAGGAGGACCTGTAGTTGAAAGCGGAGAGGCAGTGGGCACATTGATAGTATTCAATTGTTTGGCAATAGGTATAATGCATCTATTGCTACACTCTTCACCCCACTACAATATTTCCCAATTTTCCCAATCAATGCATGAATCGTGCTTTACCAACCATGGAAAACCAAGCACAATAGGGCACGAAGGTGAGGAAATAACCTGGAAGGTGGCTAGCTCCCTATGTAAGGCCCCTACTTGTAACAAGATAGGGAAGGTCTCATGCCTAATGAGCGGTTTCTTAAGAGGTCTACCATCTATGACCGCAACGGCCAAAGGTGTTGACCTCTCCTTTAGAGGGATATTGTGTATGGACACGAAGTGATCATCTATACAGTTTTCTGCAGCTCCTGAGTCAAACAAAGCGTTTAATCAACCCTGAGATCATGGATGGACACAGGAAGGAGAAGTCTAGTGAGAGGCAATGCAGGTGATATAAACACAACACCTAAGGCCGGTCCCCTAAAAGTCCTTAGGTACGCGAGTTTTCTGGACGTATTGGGCAATTGTTTCACATATGTCCTTTTTTCCCACAATACATTCAAAGACCCTCATTTCTCCAATATTGTCTCTGTGTTTCTGACAATCTCATAACCCGTAATTGCATAGGTTCTGGTTCAGCTATAGCCAAAAGAGGCTTTGCGACAACAGGATTGGAAAATCGGGCAGCAAGAGGAGTGCTATTTCTTCTGGTTCTATTGCTTATTCTTT